CAATCACACAAGTCTTCATAGACAACATTACCGATCCAATCACACAAGTCTTCATAGACAACATTACCGATCCAATCACACAAGACTTCATGGACAACATTACCGAATCAACCACACAAATCTTCATGACAACATTACCAAATCAATCACACATGTCTTCATGGACAACATTACCGAATCAACCACACAAGTCTTCATAGACAACATTACCGATCAAACCAAACAAGTCTTCATAGACAATATTACCGAATCAACCACACAAATCTTCATAGACAATATTACCGAATCAACCACACAAATCTTCATAGACAATATTACCGAATCAATCACACAAGTCTTCATAGACAATATTACCGAATTAATCACACAAGTCTTCATAGACAATATTACCGAATCAACCACACAAGTCTCCATAGACAACATTACCGATACAATCACACACGTCTTCATAGACAACATTACCGAATCAACCACACAAGTCTTCACAGACAACATTACCGAATCAACCACACAAGTCTTCATAGACAATATTACCGAATCAACCACACAAGTCTTCATAGACAACATTTCTTATCGAACCATACAATACATCCTGGACAACATAACCGATCATAAAATGTCACAAAATGTGACAAACACACGCCATGGAAGTCAATTCACTAAAGAAAAGTTGACATTTATAACAAAAACAGACAAAGCAAAAACTGTTAAATAGATAACCGATTTCCTTATCGACATGCAGATGTCATTCATATGTCTTACTCGATTTCATGACATTGAAAATATTATTCTTGGCAGAAAGATATCCTGAATTATGTTTTTATTATTAACTACATGAGTTTATCATAGAAAAGACAAAATAATAATTTAACTTTCAATACAAGATTTGAAGATTTTAATGGAATTTAATCCTCTGGTGCTGCCTCTACAGTCAGATATCATCAATAACGGATCCAGAGATTGATCTGGGTTTTTTTAAATTATCAGGGGAATTTTAAGTGGTAGAAAATTGTAAAAAATAGATAAACATTCTCTTAAAGAACATAGCTATATAGCGTGCTAAGAGGTTTCCTGGAGCCCTGGAAGCCCTTTGGATATGTTGCTGACCCGAGAGATGACGTCATGCTTGACTAGACCCCGCCTACATCTTGTGTACTCTGATATTTTAATCATGTAGATGTTCCGAGGGGAATAATTAATACGGACAGTACGCGAGCGACATCAAACGTAACACTAGCAATGTTGTGGGGATAATCTAATTGTAGAGACGGCTTGATGTCACTTACAATATTAGTCCCTCAAGTGTGCACCGGGTCACTGACTCCACTGGAGTGTAAACACCGTGTACAGGACTTAGGGTGGTAATATCGATTGTATCTTACTTACAAATTCAGAATTACTCCTAAATGAGATTTCTTAACATATTAATTATTACTACAGTAAAAAGAATAACCATTTTTTATATAAATTATGTTATTTTGACTTGGAGCAACGGTGTTTATTTAGAAATACAGTTCTGCATCGCTCACCAACTCAACAATACTTGATATTTCATAAGGCATGTTCTTAGACATTTATTAAACCAATACAAGCCTGATACATTTTGTAAAATTTAACATTCAATCGAAGACTTGACATTTTAAAATAACAGCTGGTAGTTTCCTTATATTTCACGAAATATATACAAATGTCGTGTAGTACTTCTTTTAGGTAATTCTGTGTTGAATAATAAATGCAGTAAAATGCCTTATTTTCTATTAAATTATGGTGATTAAAAAGAAATATTCTAGTCTTAAGCTTTGTGTCATTAAAATGTGTCATTAACGTAATTAGATGGATAGAACATGGTCCTGTCGGTTGTTTGCCCCGGTCAATACCACATTGCACGTATACAGACGCCGATGACTGATCGCGCTCGCTCTGCATTTAGTTAAAACACGTGTTTCCCAATCTTGTTTAAAACGCTGTTATCGGAACCATGCCATCACCAAGCCCTCCGGTGCAGTTACTGTAACGGCTCCAGCGCGTGCCCACGTGTTCCTGTGGCGCGAGAGCACGGTCTATCTCACTGTTCGGTGTAGGGAAAATATAGGAGGATTTATGTTCTCCGTAAAATTGATGAGAAAAGACCGTTAAGTGTTAGCAGATAGTACATATGTAATATCGTTGTTACAAGCAGAATCACAAACGGCCGAACACAGTGCATCGACGGCGGGAGTGCAAGCACGGAAATGTGTATGAAGAAACTCGAATTACTTAGCTTCACGATTTCTACCCCTAAAACCAAGTGTAAATAAATAAGGATAATGTCAAATATGTCACAGTATTTGCACTCATCGAATTTTTCTCACATCGACCAACCCTATGTGTCCGAACATTTGGATTGTATCAATATATCGGAGGGAAACAGAATACGCCACTTTAGCTTGGCGACAAGAATTATTTTCGGGGCATGGCTTGTTCTTATTGCCCTAGGAGCAGTCATCGGAAATTTGATGGTTATAATAGTCATATTAATCAACCGTTATAGACGTGGCATCAAAAAAGGGACAGGAACGAACTATTTTCTCATGAGTCTCGCTATTGCGGACATGATGGTCGGGTTATTCGTGGTACCTCAGGCTTTACACACGTTTTTACGTGAGTGTTGGAGTTTCGGATCTCTTATGTGTTTACTTACGACTTCATGTATATCTATAATAGTTTCGACGTCTATCCATACCTTAATGTATCTTGCGATATTTAAATATATAAACATCAAACGGTGTGCAAAGACGATCAACTACAAACCTATCACCCGCTGTATGCGAAACCTAATGATAATTCTGCCTTATATATGGGGTTTGATTCTTGCAGTTTTAGCAACGAAATTCTTGTCGAGCGTAAAGCTCAAACCAAAGACAATTCAGTGCGGACCGGAATACCCGAGTACCGGAAATACCCGACTTTATATCCTCCACGTGGCGAATCAATTTTTGAATATTATACTTCCAACAGTTATTATCATTTTCACCTACCTGAAAATCTACAGCATTATTAAACGAGATGCCTGGCTAAGAGACAACTCATTGCGCGCACCAGAATCGGAAGTACTTAAAACGTTCTTCATTGTGCTCGTCTGTTTCCTTCTGTGTTGGACTCCGTATTTTGTTTACACGAACTACGTCACAATAATTCCTAACAAAGACGACATTCCCGTCCATTTCAACCTTGTGGTGAGTATCGGCACTCCAACCATGGAATTTACGAATTCAAGTATCTAACGAATGATTTGCACAAAGAAATAGAAAGAAAGAAATTACCATTATCAGCAATAGATTCAATAATAGGTTGAGTGACTTTTGGTATACATATGTAAAATTGCGAGTTTGTTTAGGGTTTTTGGTTTTGCTGATGGTTTATCCACAAACAGTTACGACATATTGATGGACTGAAATTTCTCTTACCCTGAACATGTGTATCCGCACTTTTACGGGTGTGAGATGAATAGAATCTTTCACCCCCTTGGGGGTGAGATAGTGGGATCTCAACCCGAGGGGGGAGATTCTTATGTTGCCAAACACGTGGCTTTGCCGAGTATTTGGCATCTTAAGAATCTTAAGATCCCTCTATCTCACCCTCAAGGGGACGAAAGATTCTATTAGTCTCATTCCCAAAAATGTTATAAATAATGAAGTTTATGCAACACAGTGCTTTAACAAACATGTTTACTCACTAGTTTTTTAAGTCATTGAAAACTGTTTGATATGACATCTGTGATATCTCTGGTTCTCCGGTGTCAAGTTTTGCGGATAGTGTTTCCATAAATCCTGACTGATCATGCATAGTGTGTTAATGGATATCGTAAAATGTAAATAACATATAATGAAATGATTTATTTGAAAGAAACTTCAGAATTACTCCTATGGTATTCATGGTAAGGAAAGTTAACAGATTGCGACTGAGACCACGTTTAATTCTTACAAATAAAGAGGTATGGCGGAAAACTGCCCGTATTTCCCTAAATCGGCATTTATGAAAATGAGAAGATGCATACAAAAGATACAAAACCAATTGAATATGAATTTTTAAACTGCTGAGAAATTAGGTACTGCTAATATGATAGTGCAAATATAGCCATATACACTAAATCTATGAAAGTGATGGGGTTTCCCGGACTTAAAAAAATACTTTCAACACTTTACCATCTGAGGACCAACTTTTGAATAAACTTTTTGTGACTGTGATGTAATATGCAAAAACAAATCGTATTACGGAAAAGTGGTCCTCCTTTGGGAAAGTGCTCAAAATAATGAAAAACAGGGGTGATCAAGTTTCCCTAAACTGCGACCGGTGTTTCTCGGGTTAAAACAGTTTGTTATTGCCGATATCTATATGTTCTATGTAGCCGAATGTGTAACGCAGTTTACTTGCGACTAGAAAACAAACGTTTCAGGTTCGAATCCTCCTTCAGTTTTTTTTTAAATATTTAGGCATGTGATCATTTTCCTTAATAAGGCAATGGTGTGGTTTTTTTAAATCGATGGAAGATTTTGTTTACATTTTAATAACATACCTATTGATTTATCAGTTTTGTTAGTAATATTTTCTTTACTATTTAGTGCGACATACTTCTCTCGAAGCATGTCAACAAATTCCTGTACACGTGTACAGTACAGCTACGCTTTGTAGGTAAGACACTATTTTTGATGAAATTTATGAATTGTTTTACCCTCCAACTGGCAAGAGTAATTATATCAAGTGCTTAAACACCAACAATTAATGCCGAAATACCAAATAGATGGTCTGTTTACAATAATCTATTCTTAGACACGGGATTCCGATATTGCTACCTGTATAAAAATACCTGGGACGCGTCATAAATGGTGGCCCGTGTGAGAACTGTCCAATTTCGCACGGAAAAAATCCCTCTGGGTTTTTCGAAAAAGAGCAGGCGCGTACACGCCGACTCAGAGGATAGGAAAAATTTATTCAAAATTTTAAAGGTAGGGTCTCTTTATTAAGGTATTTAGAAGGACTTCCAAATTTTATACATAAACCAAAGTTCTTAAACATAGGCGGGGCTGATGGGGCTGACGGCGGCACAGTACCTCACTTCCGGTCCAGAATTGGTGATGCTTCACAATGAGTGTTAGGTTAAGGCAATATTAGGCATAGGAGTCGTCTCACAAAAACTAGACAGTTAATATATATAGGATAGACGGCTCTTCATCTAATCTATCCCCCTCCTCTACTCTTTTACTCCATACTTTATCCCTTCTACTCTTTTTCCTTTCTGTTCTTCGTCTGCTGGATAACCGATACATCCGGTAGTTAAGCGGACGTAAAACCTATCAATCAATCAATCAATCAGTCATAAAAGTGCACGGTTGGATGCGCGCACTAGCGTAACATAGCTTTGGGAAAATAGGCATAGCAACCCGCCATATCTCTTTTCAAATAAACGAAAAAACAATTAAAACATTTTGTTTAACTTATTAGACAACTAAGCAAAACTAGTTTCTGGGTCAAACACATTTACGTCTGCTTGATTGTATCGTTTACATACCTTTATATACCAGCCTGTTACGATACAAGGCCTATTGTCGTATTATCATCAGTGACATAAACCACCATATATATCTCCAAAGAATAACCCCTAGAAATATGAAAAACTTGGAGCACCTTTTTGAAAAAATGTGTCTGTAGATAGAAAAACTTATCAAAATAAATATGTTACTGCATATCTGGCAATGTGTCCGTTAAGGAACCATCCGTCGTACTAAAGGTGAAAGCATGACAAATCTTAGTCGGAAGTGTTCTGAATCATATATACTTATAATATGATAATAATAAATAATAAAGGCTTTATTTATTCTTGATAACATATTGAGCATGAAGCTCATCTTACACATGGTCAAGATACAATGTATGATAAAATGTACAATATTTACAGCTGTTACATGAATACCTGTCTTCGCACGACACAGGCATACCCGTCTTCGTTCGTCACAGGAATACTGTACGTCACAGGAATATCTGTCTTCGTCTCTGTTTTTCTCAATTATTTTTTTGTGGGGGGTTATCAATGTCTTTTCTTTGCTTTGGTATTTTCACGATTCCTAATGCTGTCTTTTAATATCGTTTTTGAGGTCTGGTCTAACACTTGAATTATTATTGATCATATTTCGCATTCTGTTTTCGTGTCTTGGTAATACAATAAATGCCAAAACAACATCCCCGTGCCGTTAAGGTTCCCAGATTAGAACTTCAGTAAATATATAAAGGGATACTGTTCCTTGTAGTTGTATCAGTATACTTTTGTAGATATGAATTTGTTAAGAAATGATGAGTAAAGGATCTATTGTTGCAGTAAACACTTTGATAAAGTGATACAAAAAGCTTGGCAGAATCTGGTTAATAGCTTCATAGTTTTGATCCACAGTTTTTGGTTCAGTTCTGTTATGGAAACCTTGGAGATGAATCGTGTAATACGCATGGGTTCCTAATTATTTTGAAATTACATTTACATCATAGAGCCTACCAGCCCACTGTTTTAATCATTTCAGAGATAGTAATGTAGCCGACCATACCTCCCGAGGTATCAGTGTGAAACGTGACCATGCTAACAGGTTTTAATTAGCTAAAACCTAATTAAAGCTATCACCGGGAACGATTGGCCTTTACCATGAAACTTCGTCACGAGACCACTGGTAGATCACTGGAGGCGACGGTTCGAAACTATCAACATTTTTCAATTATTTTTCAAGATATTATGTCAGAAGCTTACTTGACATAGTAACTACGTCTTACTCTATGCGTGACAAAGAACCAGTCAACGAACGAACCAACTAAAGGGGAGAGAGAAAGAGAAAGATGGAAAGTGGAGTATAAGGCAAAGGACACAGATATACAATACAATAACAGATATGACAAGTACAATGCATAAAACAACCAATGAGTAATAGATATTCAATATCAGTGTGAAGAACTGTGAAGTCAGGTAATCAAGGGATGGTTAAGAAGATTTAGACGGAAAATAATTCTGGCTAAAGCTATCAGGCCCTAAATATCTACTCCAGACTAGATCAAAAGGGTGATATATATATTAGTATAAACGTATCAACAAGATTGTAAAAGATATAAAGTTTAAGACAACATCTGTTAAGACATCATGCACAGAAACACCCTGTAAATTGATCAGAGTTATATACAAAATATTAAATCTCGCATGTTGGTTAGGAAAGGCAGATATATATATAACATCAAACAAGTTTGCTTTAAAGCCACAAGGGAACAAGCCGGCTACTGTATTACTACGCCCTGGTCAGAACAGCAAGGATTTGGAACCACAAGAAAGCAAGCCGATTACTGTATTACTACGCCCTGGTCAGAACAGGAAGGGTTCGGAATCACAAGAAAACAAGCCGATTACTGTATCACTACGCCCTGGTTAGAACAGCAAGGATTTGGAACCACAAGGAAATAAGCCGACTGCTGTATTACTACGCCCTTGTCAGAACAGCAAGGATTTGGAGCCACAAGGGAATAAGCCGACTGCTGTATTACTACGCCCTGGTCAGAACAGCAAGGATTTGGAGCCACAAGGGAATAAGCCGACTGCTATATTACTACGCTCTGGTCAGAAGAGCAAGGATTTGGAGCCACAAGGGAATAAGCCGACTGCTATATTACTACGCCCTGGTCAGAACAGGAAGGATTTGGAACCACAAGGAAATAAGCCGACTACTGTTTCACTACGCCCAGGTCAGAACAGGAAGGATTTGGAACCACTAGGAAATAAGCCGACTACTGTTTTACTACGCCCAGGTCAGAACAGCAAGGATTTGGAGCCACAAGGGAATACGCCAACTACTGTATTACTACGCCCTGGTCAGAACAGCAAGGATTTGGAACCACAAGGAAATAAGCCGACTACTGTTTTACTACGCCCAGGTCAGAACAGCAAGAATTTGGAGCCACAAGGGAATACGCCAACTACTGTATTACTACGCCCTGGTCAGAACAGCAAGGATTTGAAACCACAAGGAAATAAGCCTACTACTGTATGACTACGCCCTGGTCAGAACAGCAAGGATTTGGAACCACAAGGGAACAAGCCGAATACTGTATTACTACGCCCTGATTAGAACAAGAAGCATTTGGAACCTCAAGGGAATAAGCCGATTACTGTATTACTACGCCCTGGTAAGAACAGCAAGGATTGGGAACCACA